TATCAGCTGGTGGCCTAGCCCAGGCTGAAGGCTCAGGGTTGCTCTGGTGGGAGAGCGACCGGACCACCGGTTTCTTTTGCTTCCCCTTTCTGCATTCACAGGGGAAGAAATCTAGCTGGGCAGAATTTCTCTGAGCCAGAGCAGCAGGGAGAGACACTGCCCTCCCCCAGCTCCCCAGCTCCGCACTGATTCGTTCAGCTCCCTGCTGCAGGCTCTGCAGCTGCCTACACGGGCGGTTATGAAAAAGCTTTTTTTTTAACAAAGATGATTCAGAAACCCGCAGGATGATCACAGCCTCGCTGCTGGAGGAGCCTGGGAAAGCAGCGGCTCCGAGGCATCTCTCTTGTCCCTGGCGCTCGCGTGTTTATGTATTAAAAAACCAATAATCCCGGCACCTTCTCATAGGGCCATTGAACACTGAAGGGGGCAGGGGATTGCATCCTGCTTGCTCAGTAACGACACTAGTCAGGAAGGGACCCCACCAATGTCCACCACCAAAGCAATAAACTCCCTGCCTCCGGCTGGAGAGCAGCTGTAATTCCTGGGCTCCATCCTGCTCCCAGCATGGATTCATAACTCTAATTTACCTGCATTTCAACACGTTATTTAATACCATACAGAGTTCAAAATAAATCTTCCCTGCCTGTCCGCTCCCTTCCTGCCTCCGGGTCCGATAGTCCTCAGTTTATGCACCTGGCATTGGCCACAGGACAAGATGGCCATTTGGTCTGATGCAGTATGGCTGCTCTTGTGTGTCTGTAGAGCCTTTCATCCCAAGAGCTCCAGCAGCCGGGTTCACCTCTCGCTCACCCTCCAGTAACCCCACTGATTGCAGCCCAGGTGATGCCCAAAGCACAACAGGCTGAGCAGGCAGAGGGGGCCCTGGGACACACAGCAGCACTGGTGAGCAGCCAGGCGCACCGTGTGGAAGGTCTGATCGCCCACCGGGGCAAATGCCGACGGTTAGGGAACATGCTCTCAGGTCTCTGCCTTCCACCATGGCAGATCACAAGATCTTGGCGAAGGCAAAGTCTGCGCAGGCACATCCCAGCGCTGGAAACTTCTGGCTCGGGTGCGAAAAACTTCCCCTCCCCCGAGCAGAGCTAGGGTGCGTCTACTCTGCACCGGAACTCGAACTCAGACTCAGCTGCGCAGGGTGAGCTCTGCACATTGAGTATCTTATTTCGATGCTATTTCAAAAGAGCTTATTTCGCCAAATTTCAAAATAAATCGCTATTCCAAACGGTGCCTTCCTCTTCGTGGAATTAGGGTTCCAGGGACATCGGCATAGCGGGCCCCTTGGATTTGGAAATAACGGGCACGCTCAGCAGACATGGAATAGCTGTTTCGGGACTCCTCCGGTATCCAGCAATAGCGCTGCAGTGCGGACACAGCCTAGATGGGAATGTAATCATCTAGGCTTAACAAACCAGACCCTGGGCGGCTAATTCCACCGGCTCAGGACAATTAAATACGTTTGACCCATTGCGTTTTTGAAGAGATTCCAGGCGGGTTTCTGACACGGTTCCATTCAGCTCTGTGCCCACATCTGGGACCATGGGGCTGCAATGCAAGCTGTTTCTGTGGCCTGGGGGCAGGGGTGGGGAAAGGAGTTTGATGGGCCTGGGAACACGTGGATGTGCATGTTTATTGTGCACGGGGCAATTTGCTCCTGACTTCCTCCCCCTGGCCCACATTGCACACCGGGAAAAGGGGCTTGCCACAGGGCTCTCTGCTGGCTTGGCTGCCCGCTCCTGGCAGTGCTCTGCCTGTGCGATGCCTTGCCTGGGGCCGCACACACTCCA